CTCATGAAAAGGAAGTATTATTCCCTTTGCTGTAGCGTTTAAAAAAGTAAACAGTGACAGGCTTTTAAACCAAGTAGTATAACTTTAAGATGATTCAAGAACTATACTGTACATGAAACCAAAGATAAAGGCAGTAGAAGGAGCCACTCATTTTTCTCTATTCTAATTATCTTCGTTTCAGTGGATTAGAAAATGGTAAATGTAGAAGTCAAGTTGGAGATGGTCCTGAGCTCAATCGCCTGCCAAGTTAAGTCTGATAAATGGCAAGTGTGTATAATTAATACTGTCATTTTCCCCTAGACCAAAGGGCGACTGCAGTAACTATAGATTGTAATTGTCATCGTTGTCACATAAAATGTGCTATTATTAAGTTCAGGCTGAATTTTATTGCTGGGAATGCTCATAAATTGAGCGGTCAGTCATTTAAATTACCAAGTAGAGAGCTTTGTGGCTTGCTCTAAAACTACTTTCTAAGACAATGTATTTGACTTTGGACCTCCAGAAACTAATTGCATTTTTTGAACAGACATTAGACAGGCTGTAACCTATAAGTGAGCATATCCTGACAGATATGCCATGTACACTTATGAATGTTCACAGAAATCTTACATTTTTATTTCCAATATTTTGGGTTGTAGTGGCAAGAGAGGAATGAGGAATAGATGGGAAATGACATATGAGTGGGAGAGATCATTTTGAAAGCATATTCATTGCACTCTTGCAAGATGCCTATATTCCAGAAGGTGATGTTGATGAAAAATTAAAGAGTGGAGGATGAAAATTATGATGGATTTGTTGTTAGTGTCTTAGAAGATGATTGTGGGAGAGAAATTGAATAGAGTAGCAAGAAAATGGAATAAGCTAGAAATATATAAAATGATTGATAATGATGAATATAGTATTGATTAATAGTATTGATGAATCTATTATTGCTACAGTTTCTTTGCATATTTAAAATTGCTAATTAAAAATGTATTAAATGTTTGCCTAAATAGGTCAGATTATACCTAAAGCACTGGTTACACATTACATTGTGTTAGTTATGTTTTATACATAAATGACAAATCAATATTTTTTAATTAAAGCTCTAAACTTTAAATATACATAGGTAAGAACAGGTACACTTCACTTATATCAGTATCACTACTGCTGCCATTGAATATATTTCTTTTACAGATATAAGGTTGAATTTTTATAGTTGTAATAATGACTTATGCAAATTTATTTTGTCTTTTTTTTCTGTGAATTCTTCCTATAGTTTTCTTTGCATGGTATTCTGTAGACTATCATAGAGCTGTCTGCTCTTATCAAATTTTGAGGGGGTGAGTCACACATGGGGTTTCTCTGGGTTTATTCCTGGATCTGAAACGAGAAATTACTCTTGGCAGTGCTCAAGAGACTATGTGGATTCAGGGGATTTAACCCTTGTCAGCTTTCTGCAAGATAGGCACTCTACTCACTATAATATCACTCTAGACCCTATTCTTAACAAATTTTAAATAAAACATACCCCCATTACCAATTTTTTCAACATTCTAGCATACCATCCTTCACATTACTATATTCACAGTAACTCTTCTTACAGTGAATTACTGATTGGTCGACCCAGTTTTGATTCCTCTGCCCGTCTCGGAGAGCCAGGTAAGTTACCGAGAGAAATTATTTGACCATCACAGTTGCATAGTGAATCCCAACCAGAACTGTATGTCTAGATACCCAAATAAAAGTTTAATAAGTTTTACTATCTTCTAATTGTCTGAATTCCTACTAACTTCTCATTGAATTTGCTTTTCTATATATTAATAATAATAATAATAATAATTATATTCCCCTTAAACTTGTTTGCATTTGAAATTTACCAGATGCTACTTACTAACTCTAGTTATAGGAAACAGAAGTAAGTAAGAGCTAATAAAGTGTTAAGAACCAAACAAAACTGAATCCAACTGTATTCATTTGTTGGTTCATGTTTGGGCTCCAGTATTTTGGAGAAATAAACCTATGAGAAGTCGCATGTAGTTAATGGACTTGTTGTGTTTTTTTTGCTATCTTTTAATGTGTAGGTGGTGACACCTATACACATATGAATGAGTGAAGCTAAACTCTTGAAATTCCACTTGATCACTTGACATCCTCTTACTCATCGATTTGCTCAAGTGGGTGCCCGTAACATCTCCAGCCATCCCTTTCATGTGCTGGTGTAGCCCAATGCCATATGCTCGCTCCAGGAACACAAAGAGCATCAAACCTTTTGTTTGGGGTCTTGACGAATAAGTCTTAGGTGGGCGACCACGTGATCTTTTGATATCCTGTGGAATCCAATCGGTACTTGCTCTAGTTCAGCGGTCAGCTCCAAATCGCATTAAGTTTCAAGCCCATATGATTTTTGACACCTTGGCAAATGAGACAGTGTCCCTGAATCTCCATCTTTGATGGAGGTCGGAACTGTAGATTCTTTCTCTCACTTGAGTGAAGCGTGATATTCCAAGCATAGCTCTTTCAATTCCTCTTTGGGAGATACAAAGAGCATTCTCATCCTATTTTCATGGGACACAGATTTCTGAGGCATATGTTAATGCAGGAAGAACAGTGGAATCAAAGAGATGTGCCCAGAGCCAGAGGTTTTTTGTCCTCTTAGATATTTCTTCAACACTCTTGAAGGCGGTACAAGCTGCTCTCTTCCTCCTCCACAACGGCAGGTGCCAGGTTGAGTTCTCAACTTAGATACACATAACTGTTGCATTCGGAGATGTTTGTTCTGTTGAGAGCAAATGAAATGTCAGGAACAAGTCTTTTTGTCATAAACATTGTCTTCGTGATATTCAGCCGGAGTCCAACCTTTCCACACTCAAATGAATCAATGCATTCAAGTGAATCAATGCTCATGACCAATTTCATGTTGACAAGGACACCAACACCACCGACACCTCTTTTGTTGCATGTTCCGAGGAACTGGTCTTCTTCAGTGTCGAAAATGGTGTGATGTGGTTGATGCCTTCTCGTCTCGGTCATATCAATGATGTTGTATTTGATCTTTCATGCTTGCACCATCAGGTTCTCAGTGGATGCATCCGATGCCAGCATACGTGCCTTGAAAGTACAGTCAGTCATTTTTATCCTTCTTCATTTTGACAGCCTTGTTTGGTCTTGAGACTTTATCAACCTCTCCTTCCTCATCTCTCTTAACGCTGCCGTATTGGTAGCTCTTTCAGGGTCAGGGGATTGAGACCCATAGTATTTACTGTTTTTGGCATATCAAGTAAGCTGTGGATAGCTTGTGAGGCTCTGCTATGCGGGCAGGATACTCTTGGTAGCTTGCCAGGCTCTCTGGTTGGTACTGGTAGGGCTGTCCATGTTATTTGTGTTATTATTTTCACTCATTGAGCTCAGTGGGCTCCTGCCTGTCTTCCCCATTGTGTTTTCTGTGCAACTTCTGTGCTAAGGATGATCTCTGTAGTTAGCCCCCTTGGAGTTTCTGATGGATCATGGTGAGTATTTGTATATTTGGAAATAGCAGCCTTGAAGTCACTTTTAATAAAAAAGAAAAAGTAGAACGAGGCAAATCCCCAAGGGTCATCTTCAATTCTGCATAGATTATATAAGATATGTTCATAAAGATAAGGGAACTGAAAAGTTATTATCTGCAGAGTTGCAGGTTTAATTTATTTTGTTGAATAGAGCATTTATAATCAGTGAGTTATCAATATATAAAATGAAGTGTTATTGTAACTTCTGAAAACATGTCAAATATCAGTTTGAAAAGTTATTTCACTTTCCTGAAACAAGACTAAGTTGGTGTATAAACTTGAGCATTTGTCAAGGCTGAATCATGTCTGAAAGAGACGTCTCAAAATAATAATTTGCTTTATCTACAATGTCCTGAGTGCTCTACTGATAGTTTATGTTTATGATTCTTTTGCCATAGTGACTATACCCCAATTATTAAAATATTTTATTATATGCAATACAAAGCCATACAGAATTAAAATATTAGTATTTATTGATGAATATTAATTTCTCTTTCTAGAACAGTCATAATGTATTTTTGTTGTTGTTTTGGGGACATACTTGGTGATGCTCAAGGTTTATTCCTAGCCCTGTGCTCAGGGCTCTCTCCTGGTGGGCTTGCGTGACCATTTGGTGTTCTGGGGAGTGAATCTAGGTCAGAGCATGTAGGACAAGCAAGTTACTCATTGTACCATTGTTCTGGCCAGGTCATATAATATTTTGATAAAAATATTATTATAATAGGAATAGTTTATGTAAACGATTTGGCCTGTGAAATTTACATATAGAAAAAAGAGGAGGAAAATATTATTTATAAAAATATTAAATACTGAGATACCCAAAATAATCATGAGATTTTTAAGGAGTTGAAAACTTCCCTATATAATCAGTTCTCAGTTAATATAAATAAAACTTTACAAAATCAATTCTCAATTCAGACATCTCTTGTTTTAAAAAAAATCAGAAATTTGTATTATTTGCTAAAGTAAGAAGAATATTGAACTGAAACCCAGGTCATCTGAGTTCTAATGTTGTATGTTTGTCCTTGGGCAAATTTCATTCCATCCCGTGCTATCAATGCACTTTGTAACGAGGAAACAAAAAACCAATAAAGGAAAGCCTGTGGTATATTTGAGGAACTTGGAAGAGAGATGCAATAGATATTAGAAAACCTTCTACAGGCATGAAAATAAGCACTTTTATTATGCCTCCAAGAAATTTAATGATCTTACATCTTAGACCCCCATTATTATCTTTGTAATAATAAGAAATGTGAATTTAAGAAAACTGAGCAAAATATTGGCATAATCTGAATTGTAGGTTATCCAGAATTTTTATCTAGCTTGCTCATCAGATCCAAACATTCTGATTTGATTAGAAAAACAAACAAGCAAATAAACAAATGTAGTTCAAACAAATCATGAATTAGTCAAATATTTTTTACAGGTCTGAATGAACTAGATACATTTATTTAGTTAACAAATTATTTATTTCAGGAGAGAGCGTGAACGCAGTTCCCCCACTACCACAAATTATGCAGTTGAGTTTCATGTATTTTGGGAAATCGCAGGGGTCAGCACATCCGAAGTGCTATAGAAATGCCTTGTCCTGGGAAAACCACTTCCATGACATGGTATCTCCCTGCCAGGTAATATACAAATTGATTTTTAAACCTCAGTTATATACAAATTATGTGCCATGTGCACAAAATGAAACACATACTTTTTGCTTCAGGATTTCATGGATTATGTTGGTTCAATTAAAACTCAAGGTCACACCACACACAAACACCCTCCCGTTGATCGTCGATTTGCTCGAGCGGGCCCAGTAACGTCTCCATTGGAGACTTTGTTGTTACTGTGTTTGGCATATCGAATACTCTCGGTAGCTTGCCGGGCTCTCCAAGAGGGGTGGAGGAATCGAACTCGGGTTGGCCATGTTGGCCGCTTGTAAGGCGAATGCCCTACCCGCTCTGCTATCGCTCACACCCAGCAATGCTCAGGGCTTCCTCCTGGCTCTGCACTCAGGAATTACTCCTGGCGGTGCTTGGAGAACCACGTGGGATGTCGGGGATTGAACCCAGGTTGGCTGCGTGCAAGGCAAACATCCTATGCACTGTGCTCTCGCTCTGTCCCCCTTTCTGTTAATTGACTTGCTTTTAGAAAGACCTATCAGGACCCCTCAGCCTGTAAGTTCTGTGAGAGTAGGAATAACGATGTATATCGGTCACCATGAACATCCCCGATGGCTAACACCGTTCCTGGCATTGAAGTACCCTGTAAAACAGAGGGCTAGAGAGATACTACAGTGGGGAAGGTGCTTGTCCTTGCATGCAGCTGACCCAGGCTCTATCCCAAGCACCCTCTCCTCCAAGAATGACCGCTAAGTAGTGCATGGCTCAAGGTATTGAGTTAAATACTCAAGGTATTGAGTTAAATGCGATCCACATTGAATCTCTGGTAGGCAGATGCATAGTTCAGAAGGACGAATTGAGGAGTAGCAAGTTTGTGTCTAGAGCATAAGAAAAGAATGTATAGAAGATTATTCTTAGATAAGTGGTTAGGAAAAGATAATAAAGAATCACATTTCATATATTAGGATGAGGTGCTTAGTCAAGTTCTCATTTTCTGTCTTAGAATGTCAGTAATAACATTTAAAGTAGAACTTCTCTGTCTAGTCAAATATAAACTCCAAAGAAGAGATGGAACAGAAATTTGAATTTAGGGCTTGAGACTTTTCCTGTGATTCTTTATCTACCATAGGAAAGATTTTTAAATACCTTTATATTGCAATTTTGATATCCCCTCTATTATATTTTATATAAATAAGGATATATTTGAATGTATATATAATGCTACACTGAAATCTTATTATTCAATATGATTATCATTTTTCTACAATATGATTATAGAAGCGATTAAATTAAGACTATGTCTAAAGAGAGAGGCAGAGGCCATGTTCAAACTTCTCTGCAATTCCAGATTCTCTAATTCCAAGCTTCTCTAATTCACAGGTGTAATATCACCTTTATTCTGATCTTTGGATGGTGGTACCATTGGGAATTTGCAGGGTCAGCACTTAATCAAATGGCAAACTAATGGATTGTAATGGACCTAGTGAAATGAACAGAAAATACTCCCAGAAAGGCAAGGATACTCTAGTTTTGATTGTGGCAAAGTGAAAAATTTGCCTGGCCTCTAAAACAAGAAGAAATGGGACTGTGCAGTAATTTTAAAGCTGGTAGGGTACTTCCTTGTATGCAGCAGACCTGGGTTTGATCCCTGGCACTATCTCTGGTTTCCTGAACACTGCCAGGAGTGATACCTGAATGATGAGTCAGAAGTAACTTCTCCAATTATTTCTAAAAAGGACAAATGTAAATCTACAACTGTACCTCATGGTGTCTCACTAATAAAATTTTTTTTAAAAAGTACATGAAGACCAAAGTATATTGTACTGTTTTACAGTGTCACGTTTATATTATTTTACTTGAAAAGCTAGAGGAAATTACATTATTTATTATATTTTATTATTTTGTTTTAAATGCTTTCTAATTTAAAAATACATTTATTACAAATAAAATTCTGCATCTTCCACAAAAAATAAAAAAAAAAAGGACAAATGCTAATATTCAATTTTTTAATTCTCTCACTAGAATTTTTTAAAAAATTCTATTAAATTTTACTTGTTTTGCTTTGCTGGATTTTTTTTCTAACAAGATATTTATTATAATCTTTTATTAGCTCATATTCAAGTGTCTAAATTTACCTGCATTCAATATAACTTAGCTATTACTTGATATTGATATGATATCAATACCATAATCATCTGGATAGTCAAATGTATATAATTATGAATAAATGGTGGCATGGTAACTATCAAATTAATGTACAATAGTACATTATGTGTACATACGTTTGTACATATCCTAATGTGGGTTATAAAGGAGAATTGAATTGACAAAAAATGTTTCTTTTTTTTTCCTTTATTTAAGCACCATGATTTTCAAAGCCATTCATAATACATTTGTTTTGGACATTCATTGTTCCAATTCCTGTGTGGCCTTCCCTGCATCTCATCTTTAATTTCTGTTTATTAAGCTGTTTGTTGCTAGTTGAATCTTCTATGTTACTGCTTTGTTTATTGAGCTTGGTTGGCTTCTATGCTACTTTCTCATCTAATTTGGTGTGCCCCTACTGGGATGTCAGTATTGTGGAATTTGCCATGTGACCATGTACAAGGTTGTGCAGTCTAGGAGCTCCAGGATCTAAAGAACTAGGAGATGAGTTTTCGCAGTAGCTGTAGAATGTAGATGTGGCTGCTGGAGTTTCTGGAAGTACAGGGGTGGGAGATTTCCTGCCCTCACTCTGAGAAAACCCTGAAATTTTCAGTATGAAAACCAGTGTACCTGGAATTTTTGTCATTTTCGTATCTCTGCAGAGATTAGTTGTGAAGCAGTGAAGTTGGGCCCTTAGCAAGGCAGTAGCTGTGGGGGGTGGGTGCAGCTGCCCAGGCTTCAGTAGGGTAAGGACTAAGCCAAAGGTTCCCAGGAGTTTTCAGCTGGAAGACCATTGTTCCTGTGAATTTTAGTTTCTTGGCTTGCACCTCTTCCAAGAGTAGTAGAAGATGGGTCGATTAGTTTATGTGGGATGTCAGTTTATTTTCTCATTATGACTTTACCAATGGATGGCACTTGCTGATTCTGCTTTTACTATTTTAATTAGAATTTAATGAAAGAATTTCTAAAAGGGTTGAAGTTGTGTAGTCAATGTTTTATTTCTGAATGGGCTATCTACTTAATTTCTGTACTGTTTTTTGTTTGTTTTTGTTTTGGCACCACAGCTGCTGTGCTGGGCTTACTCCTGACTCTCTATTCAAGGGTCACTTCTGGGGGAATTCTGGTACCATGAGGTATGTAAGGGATTGAACCTGGGTCTGCTACGTGCGAGGCAAGTGCCCTCCCAGATGTATTAACTCTTCAGCCTCTGAACTTAATTTCTAATTGAATGTTTTTTAAAAAGACATTTTAAGTTAATTGAAAGAGCAAGATAGGAAAGAGATAGTGAATGACAAAGTTACACATATCATCATGATACTAATCATCTTGGCATTAGATCTGAATTTCAGTATTCCAGGAAAAGAGACTGATGGAGGTAGGAAAATAACAGGATAAATATGAGAAGAGGGGACTAAGGAAATAAAGGTTCTGATATCCTATAAATGGCTTCAAAGGAACAAATCCAAAGAAATTTAAGGATTCATTGTACTTAATTTCTTCTTAACTAAGCATTAAGATATTAAAAAGAAAATTATGTTGTATTAACTGATTAAATACTTAGTATAATTTACCTTTAAGGTTTACTCAGGCAGTGGTAGGTTATCAGAAGCTTTGAAAATTGATAGGTAAAGTTATAGATCAATATTTTGTACTAAATGGGGGCTAAGGAAGATTTTTATTCTTTTAAGGGTAAAGAAATAAGAGAGGGACTAGAGAAATGGAACAGGTTGTAAAATACTTGCCTTACACACAGCCTACCTTGGTTCAATCTCTGTTTCCTGTATATGGTTTTATGAGTACTGCCAGGGGTGATCCCGAAGTAAAATTCAGAAGTAAGCCCTAAGCATAGCTTGATGTAGCCTAAATACCAACCTATTCCCCCAAAGGAGAAAGATTTATTTTCATGTAGTAATAAAATGAAAATCAAAAGTCAGTGTCCTTATTGGAATACTATTTTTCTCTTAGTGAGTTTCTCTTCATTTTAAACATTTTGTCAGTGGCTGCTGTCCTGCTACTAATACTGAGTATAGTAATCAAGACAGTGTAATCTGCAGAATCTAACATGTTTCACTCTCAGAACCTTGTTAGAAAAAGTTTTTGAACCGTGGGACAAAATAAACACTTGTATCACTCTTCCTAAGTGTGGAATTTTAGGATCTCTCAGATTTTTATTTGATGACTACTGTGTATTTGGCTTTTGTCTTAAAACTTTACTTATCTCACTTAACCTTCCCAACATATTCATGAAACAGCCATCACTTTTAGTTCCTGTTTTCAAAAAAGAAATGAGGACAGAAATGTTTTTAAAAATTTCCCCTAAATCACATAGACGTTAGGTAATTGTATTGAGATTGAAACTTGGCCATCTGACTCCAAAAACTATGGTGTACATTTTACAGTTTATAATTTGTATCTGTAAATATATATGTACATAAACTAATGAATGTGAAACCTTTAGAAATGGCTGTTATTAATAATGAACTTACTCTATTATGTAAATCTTTAGAAAACAATTGAGAATTAATGATTAGTTTCACATTTCTGTCTATAATGTAGGCCATTTTTTCTAAGACTCTCTAATTTCACATACAGATTTGAGACTCTGGACTCAGACTCTGGGACAGAAACTGAAAATACACTTTATAAAAAAATATTCCTAATATATGTATTATGCCAATGCATGTGGTCACTGTCACATGTTGGGTAGTACTAGGTTATTAAGGATATGCACTGTAGCACTGTCCTGTTGTTCATCGATTTGCTTGAGTGGGCACCAGTAACATCTCCATTGTTAGAATTGTTGTTACTGTTTTTGGCATATCAAATACGCCATAGGGAGCTTGCCAGGCTCTATCATGTGGGTGGGATACTCTCGGT